AGCGGTAGGCGCCCGTGGGTGCTCCAAATGACCGAGGCGCTATTGTTTATGGTACGATACTATGGTGTATGAATTTGATTTGCACGTAGAATATTCTGTGTATTTTTAAGCTAGTACAGTATTTATTTATTAGCCATATTTAACTTGTATTTAATCTACAGAATATTCTGTGTATTTTTATATGCTAGTACAGTATTTATTATATTGTCAATATTTAGCTTATATTTAATTTACAGAATATTCTGTATAATTGTTTTTAGATAGAATATTTATTAATTATGCATATATTTCTATGTTTTATTAGGTATATTATTTATTAATAAAATTATTTATTATTCTGGTACACAGAATATTCTGTGTTTGTGTATATTACAGAAAAGTTTATTATTTACAACTTGAAAAACTAATCACTTGTTTATTCCGATAACACATACCATACCTTTTTAGGAAGACCTAAACTTAATAGTGGTGGACTGGGAGAACGGCGCTCAGTTACCCAACTACGTCCAGGTACGCATACCAACCTACCTGTACAGTATATATAAATTAAACAAATATTTTCCAACTCCATGTCCACCCTGTAGGCGGCGGCTAATACTCAGCTAATCGGCAAACAGATAGCACTACTCATACGTATGATTAACTTCAACAAAGGTGTCGCGCCCGAGGACTACCACCTCATAGGGTTCTCATTGGGCGCACACGTGGCCGGGTTTACCGGTATGGAGATCAGCAACATTAGCCGCATAACCGGCCTGGACCCGGCTGCCCCATTATTTGAAGGTTAGCTTGCATATTCAATTTTACTAAAATAATTATGCATGATAATTATTTCAGAAATAAATCTAAATTAAATAGCTATGTGTAAATTATTAATAATTATTTATTTTGAATTTACATTATGCTAAGTTATAATAATTAATATTACAGGTTACTTACCTTGCAACTAATATAAACTATAATATTTACTCTGGCTGACAAGTTTATTGTATTATATTATTACATTAACTAGCTGAAACTACCTAAAATAATTAACATACACTAAATTATATCAAATAAAAAACACCACAAAAAACTCACTAAAACCTACCGTTCCTCCACCACCACCCGCTATTTTTGCACTCAGCCCGCAATGGAAAGGGTTTAAAAGGAGGTGTCATTCCTCCAGAATATTCA